GGAAAAACCCACATGATTTCCTGACATGTATTCCGATTAAACTAAGATTATAAATTATGACTGGACATCATGACTTAGTGAAAGCTACATACACTTTCCAGCCATATGCATGAGCATGTGTATGCATTAAAAACATCTTTAAAGAGGAAAATTCTGAACATATCTGGACTTTTCTAACTGTATACAGTATGGCTTCAGGAAACCTCAAATCTCTGCTGAGATATGTGAAATTAGAAGTGAAGATTTCTAATTTTGCATCACTGAATTTGATGGCAGTTTTACCACCAATTTAGATGAGTTGTTTGGAAAGAATTAGGACTCTCCAATGTTAAACTTATTTCTTCTGGAGTTGCCAAGCTGAGATTTTGTGGGGGTTTTCCCCTCATTCATTTGTTTTCATCTAACTTTGGGAAACACACAAAAACAAAGGTCAGAGACCAAAACACGGGACACAACCTAAACTTCAGTGACATTAAGTTTTCATACTGTGTTACTTAAAGGGCAATCATAGCTGTTACATTTAATCCCTAAGAGAGATTCACATCTGAAGTGTTGCAAAATTCAATTAGAGAATTGCACTTCCTCTTGAGTGCCAGCTCTCTGTTTGCTGCAGTATTTAGGGCTTTGAAATAATGTAAATGTATAAAATATATAAGTTTTATATTTATATTTTTATAAAACATAAAATATGCGCATATGGTTCTGATCATCAGCGACTGCAAAGGAAATGGGTGGAAATGGGAGCTGTCAAACGAGGCTGAGCATTGCTTCCCTGGAAAAGCCACTTTGGGTGAATGTACATGAGAGCTGAAACTGTGAACTAGGGACTGCCAAGACTGTTTTCATAATGTTTTGAACTTCCATATCTGCTGCAAAGACACACTGAGAAACGCCTCCGTGAGCTTGTCTAGGGCTTGGGCACCACAGGATACAGGAGACACTTCCCGTGGGAGCTTCCCCTCCTCAGATCTGGGACTGGGAGACATTTCCAATCTCAAACCTGAGCCAGGGTGCTCATCATTCTCAATTTCAAATGATTTCCACAAGACACATCACAATCAACACCTTGGCAAATCAATTCTGTGAGTGCTATCACTGCAACCAACCCATGGATAAAGGCTGCTCTCATGGCTAAGGCAGGTGGAAATCAGATTTTATAGCATCTGACTCCAGGTAAAAGACTATCTGTTGGTAACTGAACTGGTTTACAGATTCATTTATTTTTTTTCTTTTCAGCTTGTGCTTACTACTCCAGCTACCATCAGTACCAATGTATTTTGGGAACAAAATTTTATTAATGCAGTTGAAATGCCACTGAGTTGATGTTATTTACGTGGTTGGCAAAATGAGAAACATGCTGGACAGATTCTAGAACAAAGGAGAGGGAAAATAAATGTGTGTGTATATATATAGACACACATTTGTAATCTCAAATTGGACTTTATTTTGTTCTCTGTCTGTCTACTGCTCAAATAGTTATGTTCAAAAAGCTCTGAAGTGAGCCACCTTTTCTATGGCAACAACACTAAGAAAAATGTTGAGTTTCCATGATCTAATTTAATTCTATTGATGTGATCTTATGGTAGCAATGATGCTTAAAATGCTCCAAGCTCAAATTGCCGTAGCATTTGCCTCGCACTGAGAGAATTTAGGTTTTATTATTTTATACTCATAGATGAAAGACTCTTATGATACCACTTTAGTGTATGCTACAAGCATACAATTGTATTAATAGTAGGTCAGGCTTTCATAATATTGAGATGGAAAGGGAATATTGCTGAGATATGGGGTATCTGATAGGTATGAGGGATTTATAAAAATACTTGCATGAGCAGTCGCTTTCTGACACAAAACATGCACAATCATCACTTGGAAATACACAGCTCCAAGAAATTACAGGGCACATTCACATCCCTACTTGTCCATAATCTCAGAGATCAGTATTTCTCTCTCTTTAACACGCCTCAGGTTTTGGAAATTAAATCATCTGTGTGTACCAAGAGTCAAGCAGGAGGGCTCCAGGCCCCTATTTTCAATAAACGTCAAAAAAAGTCCCAGCTAAAGTCTGTGGGAATGGTCTTCCTAAGCCAAGATTTAAAAAGATGCAATCTGCAACTCTATGAGAGGAAATAGAAAGAAAATTCAAGAGGAGCTTCAGGGGCTAACAGACCTAAATTTATGTCCATGGCTGACTGTGAGTTCTCACTTGAAATGGTTCTACATCCTGAAGGAGGGAGAAGGATATTTTTTTCAGAGAAGACAATGACTCATATGTTAAGAGTGATGCAAATAAAATGCCCAGGGATCGATTAAATTGATTTGATAAAGGTGCAATGTTATTGGAAAAATCCTGAAGATCACAAATGACAAAAATTCAAAAGACAACAAATTTCACAAAAAAGTGAATTTGAATCTGATTGTGGGACTACTTCCCCCTTTACCAACTCTTTTTTCGACATCAGTAACAGGAGCTGAAGGAATGACTAAACATTCAAAAAGCACTGAGGGACTCCATCTAAGGAGGATTCTACCTCACCTCACATAGATTAAAACTTGGTTTATTTTTAAGGAAAGGCAGAAAAGGAGTAGCTGTCATATACAGCCATACTTCTTATTAAAACCAGCTGCATTTGTTAAGCAGGCGCACGGCGTGTTATTGATTTTTTAATATTGAAGAAAATGTCCAAAGTTAGTTTCTTGGCTAGCAGCCTACCCAGTTAACAAATTGCTCACCTGGATAATTTAAGAACCAACTTACATGAAATGCTTCAACCTGCAAGGGCACTGAAGGCCCTCAGCTTACAACTAAGCATGGAAATCAAAGTCCTCCACAGCCAGGATGCAAGTTTGGTAAAATAAGGGAGTTAATAAATAGCTTAGAAGGAAGCCACCAGAAAGCTGTGCTCGTTCTGTAAGCAGTGAGGTGGAACAACAAGATGAAAATATCATGTAATAATCACTTCCCTTCCTAAGATTCTTCTGTCACAACCATCCTTACAATTAGGCTGGGAGGTAACACCACAGAGAGCTTTTGGGTTCTGATGGTAGCAGATTTTATGGGCGTGAAATGTGCTAATTTCGCGGGTATGCCAAATACTAACTTCCTCCAGAAGATTCATCATCTTGTTTAAGACAGGGAAAATGTACACGAGAGTAATTTCCCACTCTTCTGAATTTATTTATTATTTAGTTATATATACTGAGAAGCCTATTGTGAAGTCTCTACTTGTTCACAGCAGTCTAGTATTGAACACAGAGGGGAAATATCACTCATGCAAGAGCACTGCATATTTCTCCTTATCCTTGTTGCAGAGAAACTCTGCAAGAATTTCCAAAAGGGGATGAGTGAAGTTAAGAGGATTCTTTATCTATAGCTTTGGTTGTTATCAGCTCTATTCTTTAATTGAAACTGAAGTGAGCAGCTGTTAACTTCCCTGCCATTAGGAGCTAACACGTTGCATTTTTGGAACAATAAACAGTTGTCGCTATTTGAGTTCTTGCCATCAGCACCTCCCAAAAAACACCTGTGCGAGCCGTCTATGTGCTCAAGTTGGCTGTTGCGAGGTGCCAGCCTTTATAAAAGTTGCATGAGCGTTTCCTCCCCTCTCAGAGGGAAGAGACAGACTCGTTTGCGTGGAACAGAGAGTGTTTGTGCCTGTGTGAAAGGGAGGAGAGCCAGGGTGCAGTTTGATACCTGTTGGCAACGCCAGCGGGTCCGTGTAGCGCCGTTCAACGCCAGCTTGGATTGATTCCACTCTATTTAGTCTGCTACTAAAGGCAAACCGCTTGAATCGAGACAAATTCAAGGCACGACCGAACGGCAGCGAACCGCAAAGGAATTCCTGCCCGTGTTAAGTAGTGTCACCTTCATGGCGGTAGGCAGAGCCTAAATAAGGATTGGAATTAATCTCTTTTCTATTAGCCAGCCAGGAGCTGCCAGAGGCTCTGTGCTGGAGCCTGGCGGTGCCTCCCAGGCTGGTGCTGCCGAGCAGGGATGCTGCTGCTGCCCAGCAGAATAGAAGGATGTGCTCCTCCTCTGCCTTCCTCAAAGAGAGCACGAAGCGTTTGGTGGCACAGCAGCTCCAGGGGGCTGCAGGCTCCTGCGTTTCTGCTCTGGGAGCCTCGGCAGCGAACGAGAGGCTGAGGCTAAGAGGATTTCTCCCTCTCCCAAGTTTCAGCGGGGTGCATCCTCTGTTTAGTCAGCCAAAGGATGGGAAGGAAAACAACTTGTGGGACAGGGATGACTCCTGGCTAGTTATGGCTAGAGATGCATTGCCATCGTAGCTTTCAAGAGCAGTATTTCTGCGATGCTTTCCTCTCTCAAAGTAGGAAAGGAAGCTATGAAGCCATTCCTATTTATTTACTTACTTAGGGGGTGCAAAGCTTTGCGGTGAGGGAAGGTGATGATAAATCGGGGGGATTTTCCCCCCTCAAGGTTCTTCCAGCCTCCTCCTCCCTCATTTACATATCTGGCTGGTGGGTGATTTTTATTCTCAGCACGAAAACTGCAATCTATTTCAATGCATGAATGCAGCCCTGCATCTATTCAACACAGTGAAATAGCCCAGAGACTTATTGTACTAAATAAGAAAACAAGGAGAAGAAACGGGTTCGCCAGCCTTAGAAGCAACCCTCTGTGATCTAAAGTCCTCCCGATTCTTTAAAGGAGGGTTGTAGAACGGAAGGAAAAATAAACCTCCCGAAAAAACCACCAACAAGCGGGAAGACACATACAATTACCAGCACTTCTTCTCCCGAGAGAATAATAATGATAATAAAAAAATACTAACAAGCATCCCAGGACATTTTCATTATCGGCAATTTGAAAACATCCGACTTAATGAGGGACCCCAGTTCGGTCTAATACCGCACCTACGGACGAGGAAGGCGCTCGCCCAGCGCACCTTGCACGCACACAGAGCCCAAGTCAGCCAGAAACCCACGGGGCGAGAGCCCTCTGCCAGCCAGCCACAAATTGTCTGAATAAAATGAATACTCACTCTTTCAAGGAGCAAGGGAGCCGCTCGCCCACAGCCACTTCACGCACGGATGGAAAGGGTGAGGTAAAAAGCCATCAGCCAGTCCCTGGGAACAGGCAGGGCGCTCCAGATTTTCTTCTCATGCTTTCCGAGGCTGCCGATGCTGGCGGAGCCGCTGCTTGCCGGGCTTCCCGGGTCTCTGTGCCTGCATGCTGGAGCGCAGTTATTAATTTCTCCCTTCGCACGAGCCAGCGGCAGCCGCACGTCTCCAGGAAAGCAGGGATATTCCAAATAAATCCGCTAATTCCGGGGCTGAGCGCGCTACCGTGCCCGCCTGCCTGCCAAACGTAACTGTGAAGCGATGTGGAAAAGTGAGCCGGGAGCCTCCCCTGACAGCTCTTATTGGGCTGATCTCGGAGGCAGGTCTAGCGCTGGGAAATTCGTGTAAGCACTTTGGGGTGGTGGTTTTCCCCCTCCCTCCGCTGCCCGCCTTCCCCCCGGCAGGCACACAACTTTTCCAGGGGCGGCGGCGCCGCTCGCTCCCCGCGCTCCTGCCGGGCGCCCGGGCCGCCAACTCCGCGCCGGGGCATCTCCTCCGGCCGCCCGGGAGAGACGGAGAGAGGGAGGGACGGAGGGAGGGACGGAGGGATGAGGGCGAGCGGGGGTGGGCACCGGGCGGGCCCGGGGCGGGGGGGCCGGGCCCGGAGCGGGGCCACCGGGGACGCGCCCGCCGGGGCTGGGACGTGCCCGGAGCGGCGGCGAGGAGGAGCCCCCCCGGTTCTCCCGTTGCCGTCCTTTGGGGTGATGCCCGCAGGGAGAGGGATGCGGAGGGGATGCGGCAGCACCCGATGGGCCGCGGGCAGCCGCTCGTCTCCGTGCGACAGCGCTGCGGGCGGGCGCCCTGGGGACAGGGAGGGCATCCTTGAAAAACGCTTTTCCCAACACGCTCCCGGGAGCTGCGGGCGGCTCGGGGCTCTCGCAGCCTCGGTGGCCCCGGGGCAGCGGCAGGCGAGGATGGAGGCGGCAGCGCGCAGTAAGTCCTTGACCCTGGGCCCGTCCCCAAATGCTCTTTGTGACCGACAGCGCCGGGATCCCGCACGGCCCCGCTGCTGGAGCACCGGGCATCGCCACCTGCCTTGGGCTTTGCGGAGCTGGAGCGGGCTCGTCCCGTCCGGGGCAGGCAAAGAGCACGGCCAGCACCCCGCGGGGGACAGGCCACTGCCAGCCCCTGCCCACCTTCCTCATCCATCGAGCTTTTCTCCTTGTCGTGTTGCATGGATTATCTGTTAGCAGATTAAATGTATTATTTTTTATAATACATCCTAGCTCTGAATCCTCCCCAAGTCTGATGTTTGCTGGAAGGGAAGGGGTAAGAGCACAAGGTCAGGTGCAGGCAGGGACTCTAAAAATAGAGGGCTGGTTCCACACTGAGCTGGTGCTGTTGGGGAAGTTTAATCGCCATCAATTCCATCCTTCTCCAGCTCTCCGTGACCAGTACGATGGCGTGGTAGAAATGAACGTGCTGTGTGGTTCTATATTAACAAACCAGGTTCATTACTCAACTTTATTTTTAAAGGGCTGGTCACCTGAACCTCCTTCAGATCACCTGCAAACCTCTCCACCTTAACCAAAAGATAAGATGACTACTCTGTTGAAGATCTACCTAGGATTGCAGAAAGTGGACCCTAATATTCTTCTGTACAGTAAGAATACCATATAATTTAGTTCCATGATTGTTAATCTTATTTTCCATGCTGATCCTATGAGTGCATGACAGCGCGTGAGACCCTCCCTGTGTAGCTCTTACCTGCTCGGCTTTATCTTGACTAAATGCAAGCTAGTGGAGACAACAGGTGCATTTCTGCTTGCACAAATCCTCCTTCTGAAAAGTCTCAGCCTCATGGGAGTGTAGCAAAATGCACCCAGAATGTGCCAGTTTTCAAGGTCAATGAGGAAACATCTAACTATGGCTTTGTTTCCCTCAGCCCAAGCGCTTACCTGCAGAGCTGTGAGCCTAGGAGGATTGCTTGGAGGAGGATGGATATGAAAATACCCAATACTTGAAGCAGGCAGAGAGCCTTGAGGGAAATACAAAACACTTGGCAGTGCAATAGATAAGATCAGAAATGTGGTTTCCTTTTACCTGGGGTTCTGTTGAGGCAAGGAGCGTTTTTCTCCCCCACATTCCACCAACCGAACAACGCAGTGAAAATACAGATCTTGTCACAAGGGAAGTGTGAGGATGCTCAACCTGGCTTTACTCCAGGGAATTATTGCCAGTTTTGAAACTTCTTTTAGATTTCAGTAAGAGTGGTAGCACACCTTGTTTTAATTTCCATTTAAAACACCTAAAGGAAGCAACCAAGAATAAAAGTCCTTCCTAAAAAGAGCCCTCATGTCCTTGCTTTAAATAGGCAGCACAGCAGTGTGTGGGAAGAAAGCTAATGGTAGAGGTTGTACCTCCAAGTGCAGCTTAAAAGTTGAGTTTTTTGTTTTGATTTCAACCTTTGACTTGTGCCATTTGTTCTACGTGACCTTTCTTGCAATTGGAAATTATCAGGGCAAAAGCTGCACTCTTTCATCTTCAGGTTGTGGGAGAAGATGGTAAGTGTCTTGTTAAAATGGATTATGCCATCCATGGATTCCCCTGCTGGAAAGCCTTGCAGATGATGGAGTAAATCTTGACAGGAAGAAGTGTATAGATTAAAATTAATGTAAAAATAAGCTTGGAATAGCAAAGGAACATTTGCAGCTTTCTGCATCCTATCCAGATGAAATGATTTAATGATATTTATCATAGTGAGAGATCTATATATACACACACTACTGCATTACACTGATGAATATGCTGGCTAGAAATTGTTTCCTCTTAAATAAATATTATAAGGAAGATTATTCCTCTATCTTCTAAATGGCCATTTCATTTTTTAAGCAAAAAGCAGCTCTGACTCCAGTTGCAATGGGATGAAGATTTTTAGTTTAATGACTGTACTGAAGAAAGAAGTCATCTGCAAAATGCATATGATTAAATCTCACCCTGGATCAAACTGGAATGCAATTTTTCATATTAAATTTTGGGGTCAGGGGAAAAAAAACAACCAAACAAACAAGATTATTTACAAAATGTATTGGCTTGTGGTACGGGTTGGTTGTTGGTTTTGTTATTGTGGGGTTATTTTTCATCTTGGATTTATGGTATCTCTTGGTTACTTTTTTTTGCTTGGTTGGTTTTTTTTGGGGGGGGGAGTTGTGTATTTGTTTTTTCTTTTAGATGGGTTTTAGTTTTTGGGGTTGCTTTTGTTTGGTTTTTTGACTGGTTGTGATGGAGAATTGGGAAAAAATTCACCTCAGCTTGGAAGAGACCTGGGAGATTTACTTCTATATTGCTTTGCTTTTATGAGTAAGAAGGATTAAAATCCCTGTGTGAGTTCCCATGCATATACAGACAGGAAGTATCTGTCACCTAAAACATGTGGCATAATGGAATTCCACCATCTTCTCTCACTTTCTCGGTTATGTGAAAACAGTTGTTGATTATCATTTAATTCTTTGTTCCTCAGCAGTGCAATCAGCTGTTTCCTGAAGACAGAGACTTTAGACCTTACTGCTCAAAAATATCCAGCAGAAGTGGCTTGAAATGAACTCTTCAGGGGCAACTCAGCCACAGCACAGCCTTGCCAGGGTTACTGCTGGAGTCACTGTTTGGGGTCATCTCATTTAAATGACAATGCCAAAGTCGGGGCTTGAGAGGGGAAAAGACACTACTGTGCTAATTCCTGATATTCACATTTTATTCCCATCAGATCATCTACCAGTGAGATATTTCCCTCAAAGCATCAGTAGCTGATTTCAGTTTTTAATATGTAAAATGGAGCCTGATCCAAAATTACATGCAATTAATGAGTCCAGAGTGAATTGCTTGATCAAGATAAATGACTTTACTGCAAGCTACTTTTGCTTACAGGGATTGCCACTAAAATGCCACTTCAAAGTAATAAGAAATTAATAACTGATTTGAAAGTTACTAAAGCAAGTTTATGGACTAGTGGCATCACCTGCCATTGTTGCAATAAAGCTTTTAACACATTAAACGCTGTTTTCTTAGGCAATACCCACTCTACATCATTGGCACCTTTTGCTCAAATTGCATTAAGGATTATTCCTTAATTTAATTTCCTTTGTATGCTAGAATTGATATTTGCTTTGTATGCTAGAATTGACATTTCATGACATGAAATAAGAAGAAACAAGAAGTTACCTTAAGTCCAGCACATTTCTGTATAAAATATGCACTTTTATCAGCTCCCTGTGCCAGCACACAAACATAATTACCTTTAGAACATAGGTTCTTATCACTGTCTTGTAACCTTTAAAGCCTGCTTGCATACAGTTATCACAAGTTGGTTATCAGGAAAAATAATGATCTCCTGTGTTTGGGAAGTCACTGAAGACATCTGTAACTTGAAAAAAAAATCCATTATATAATGCTTACAAGTGATCCTATAGATTAAAACAAGGGAAATGATACAAGCAGCCTCTGAGATAAAGGTACAGGGTTGGGATAGGTTTGGTTTCAATTTTTTTTCCCTCTGAAAGAAATTTGTGTTTACATTTTAACAGGCAAGGCTAGAAACCCTGAGAGACTGAAGTGAGGGATATGCAAAGGAATGCCAGACTCCTTCAGGGATCACACATGGTTAAAATTCAATATCCAGCACTGGAACAGAAAGCTTGGAAAGCCCCACTGAAGAAAGAGCAGCAGAAGCTGTAAGTGACAGAAGTGATTCTCAACCACCCAAAACCCTTTGCTTTTGACTCTGGGCCTTCTGAGAATCTGATCCAACTCTATTCCCTTGTTACTTGAGATGTGAGGAGAAACATGCATTGATTTTGAAGTTAGTTATGCTTTGACTGGACAAACAAATTCCTGTAACCATTCAAATTCCTCCTCCAGCCCAAGGAAAAGTCTGTTCTGTCAGACAGAAACAAAAATTGAACCCAGCATCAGCCCTGGACTCGTGGGCCCTTAGCACATCCTTTGCCATCCCCAAACACTTCATTTAGCACTATAAAACACAACTAACCCTGAGCCACTTCCACTCTCCAGAGATTATAAAATACAACCCCCCCAACTACTATTTTGTGTACCTTTTGCACCAGTGATATTAGGGAGTGCATAAAAATAACACTGCATTATCAGGTTTTATTATTCCTCGGGCACTGTTTGCAATTTTGACTAGTTGCTGTCAGGTTGGCTGTTAGAAAAACAATTATTCCTTTAGTACATCAAACACTAGGAGAAAGACAAAAGGAAATTATATCCAGCAAGGCATTCAACCATTATTTTTCTGTTGTACATTAGTGCAAGTTGTACAGGATGCAATTTGGGGAGTTCATCTTTCGCTGTGGGTTTTCACTCTGCCTTGTGAGCGTCAGGAGCTGGCTCAGTCACAGGAGCTGTGCAAATATTGTTTGCTCTACCTCAAGTGCCCTCTAGTGTGCAGTAATTAAGCAGGTTAAAATAAGTTTTTTTTCTCCTTTTTTTTCCTTACAGTTACTCTCCTAAATCCCAAAGTAATATGTAACACTGCTTTTCTTCGAGAGGAAAGAGAAATTCAATGTTCACTGCATTAATTGTGTGGCTATAAATGAATTATCTCCTCCATGCAAAATCAAATCACTCCTGTTGCTGTCAGATTTTTATTCTCAGAGGTTTAAGTTAAATAAAGCCCAATAATTCTTTTGGGTGTTGTGAAAATGTCAAAGTACAAACAGTTTTTGGTGTTATCAGATCCAAAACAACAGTTTTCTCTTTGCAAAAGGAAATTACCACATTCATCAACAAAACATGACCCTAGAACAAGATTAACAAAAAAAAAAAACCTAATTATGCTTTTAGGGTCTTTTAAAAGTACTCATTGTCTGCAGTTTAGAGAACAGGCTAGCCTACATGAATATAAACAGAATAATGGCTGGGGCACACGTGTAACAAGTTCTGTGTGTTCTCACCTGTCCTGTGATGCTGAGGCTCTCCCTCAAAATTCTGCCATCACCTGGCTGGACAAAGCCAGGGGTGTCTGTCAGTGAGAGCAGGTTCTGTGCAGCAGCTCCTGACTCCAAAGAACAGTGACAGGAGGAGAAGTGAGGAGATGCTGGGAGAGAAAAGTGTGGAGAGGTAAAATTACCAGCTGCAGCTCCAAGAGCAAAGAATTGAAACCTCTGAAAAAGGCAAGAGCTATTTAACTTATAAATAAATTTAAATAATAACTTTAAATAAGTTTAACTTATTTAGGCTTATTTCTAAGGACTCCCCTGCATTTAAAAAGCAGACTTGAGTTCCCCACATAACTTTCTCCACTGCACAAATGAGTTCATTTTGGCAAAACCATTGAAGAGATTTTCCCCATTCCTCATTTCACTGTCCTGACCTCAAAGCCAAGGATTCACTTTCAGGCAGGATTTACCATAAAATTCCAAGATAATAGCAAGCCTAAGCATACTCTAAACAAAACAGATTTTTAATGGACTTCTGAAAGCTGAGGTAAGAGGGATGGGTAGATCCCAGGAGAGATGAAATGGTTGCCTATAATAGGGATATGCTACACAGGGTGAGAGAATTGAATCTTTTATGAGTTGTAAAATCAGTAGGACTTCCTATAAGTGGAAAGAGTCATCATCACTACCTCTGAGCTGGGCTGTGGTGGCAGAGTTGTGGTTTCCAAGTGAGGTGCTGAGAGAAGCCCACAGGATTGTTTCCCGTTTGCCAGCTTGGCTCTGCTGAAGGTTACTCTCTGTACCTTGAGTGTTGCATTCTGCAGAGAACACACAGTTCTGGTGCAGTCTAGCATCCATGGGAGGCAGACAGGACAGAGCAGAGCACCACACTTTGCCAATACATGGTTTTCTAACATAAAATGCCCTGTTTTAACAGCCACACTACACCCAGGCACTGTGCTGGCAGCAACACAACAACAGGAGTTATTCCAGAAACAATGCTGGAATAGATGCTCTCATAACTGAAAGCTAAAGTACAGCAGGGTTAGACAGCTCTTGGCAGGGATCTGGGCAAATAAACTGCCTTCATTTCCATCAGATTTGAGTCCCCAGGTGTGTTCAGCCCTCATCACTGCAGGGATAAGAGTGAACAGCAGCAGCAAATACACCTGGAGAGCAGCAGGGAGGGGAAAAGCCAGCCAGTGGCAAGGGAAGCTTTCTAAAATGGATACCTTCAAAGTGGACAGCAGTCTGCCACCCCTGTCCTGAAGACAATAAATCCCTTGAGCTCAGTTCTCCATGAAGTGCTTCCCTATCTGGGGGAGAGCAGCAGATCCTGGGTCCCTGAGAGGTGACAATTACAGCAGGCAAGCCACCCAAAGGGAGCTGGGGTAACTAACACAAGGGAAAGCAGCACAAGCACAAACACCAAAGTAGCTCAAGGCCAGGTTTCAGCACGGGACACCTGAAGAAACTCACCAAAAGGTACTTTTGCACACCTCACAACCCAAATCTAATAGCAGCACAAGCTGAAATTTGGCTGCTAGCTCAAATGGTGTTTTTCCATTCTGAATGCAGTGACAGATTAGGAGTATATGCTTATTTCAAAGTACTTCTCTCCAGAGAGTTCTGCTTTGGTTTTTTTATTTAATTAAGAAGGTAAGTCAACATATTGCCCATAAAGTGATTTTTTCAGCAGCTGCTGACATTGTAGTTTGGCAGACTGATCTTAAAAAAATCATAATGCTGTGGTAAAATAAAGCATCCATTTCCCCTAAAAATATTTCTGGTGCATATGGAAGAAATACTGCTAATGAAGGAGAGTATCAATCATTTAAATGCACAGGACTCCATGCTGAAGGACCTTCCTTCTTCATAAGGAGCTAAACAGGCAGAGCATATAGAGACTCAAAACAACTGGTTTTACTGCCAGTAATTTAATGAATCAAGTAAATATCTCCTGAAATATATTCTAAATTTATTTACCAATGCTGACAGGTGGTTTTTATTGTCAAATGCAGTAAAATCAAGTGAATAAGTAGCTGAGACTGAAATGATGCAAATGATGTCCCCCAGAGGAGACAACATGGGAATGATGTGACTGATCCACAGCTTGGTGTCCCTCAGCTTCTTTGCAAGCCTTTAGAAGTGCAGAAAGAGTACAACTTGTGTTTTCCATGGATCACTCCAGTCAGAGAAGCCAACTCTGGAATAACTGGAGGAATAGCAAGGCCTGACTCACTCCTCTGCTAATTTCACTAATTCCAGCTTAACACCAGAATAACACTGTGGTAAAACATGACCTATATTTTTATTTAAATTAAAATCTCTAATATTCATCAAATATTTATAAGAATATATAACAAATAATTGTGGCAAACATTGCATAATAAAGATGAAAGGGAAATTAACCTTGTGAATTTTTAAACTGAAGAATAAAGACCATTACATTAATAAGACTTAATTATATCATTAAATATTTAAAATTATGTCCTCTAATAAATGTTTTTATTTAACATATTTCTTTTCTATCTATTACATTACTAAAATGCCTTTAAGATACAGAAAAAAAAAAAAAAGAAGGGCTTTTTTTTTCTTTATAGCCATGCAAATACAGAGAAAGTGAGAAAGGAGCCATGTTACCTCTCCAGCTCAAGGTCAGCTCTCAGGAGAGAACAAGAGAACTTCCACAAGCCTCAGCTCCCTGCTTGAATGGGCTGGTAAGAGGCTGTGTCTTTGTTAACCATTTTTCTTCAATTATTCTCTTCTTTTTTAGGTCTAGCTTGGCTCTCTCTATGCTGATGAACTCGAGTTAATCCAGCACAAATAAACCTTGTCTCTGTCCATGTCTGTTCCATTGAGCATCCAACTCATCCCTGATAGGACACAGGGGTGAGAGCAGCACCTGGGAACTCCCAGGGAATCCTCAGGAAATCCACACCTTGCAAAGAGAAAGGGTCAACTGGATAGCAAAGGATTGGGGGCACGAGGGGTACAATCCCCCATCATCCCTCTGGAGATGTCACAGATTCTTTTCTCAACATTAATTCAGCTCACCTCATGTCTCTAGCGTTTTCCAATTATTCTACAAGCAACAGAAGAGTTAAAGCAAAAATTTTCTGAATAAACCCAAATTGAGCCCACAATGTTACACTCCTACCAGAAAGAAATTTCTTTTCCTAGCACACCTCCAAAACTTTTAACATTCCCTTCTAGATATGGCACTTCAAAGCAGCATTTCTGTTTCTTCAGTGTGTTCCAGTCGTATTTCTGCCTTGGCTGTGCACACAAACCCCACAGCCAGGGAGTCTGCCTGTCTCAGCTTTCCTCTGAAAATCCAGGTTTTGCATGCACTCGCAGAAACACTGATTAAAATAAAATGGCAAACAGTGACAAATCAAATCTCACTCATCAGCATTTCAGATTTATCAGAGGCTACAGTTTAATGATGCTTTAGAGGAAATTCTCTTCATTTGCAAGCACACAAAATCCTGAGGCCCTCTCTGTTTAGTTACTGTGCTTTTTGCAGTTAAACCATTCTTTCTGTTTACCACAGTAATACTTGCTCTGATCTAATTCCCACAAGTTTTTGTTTATTTTTGCCATATTCCTCTGACTTCTGTAGATTGTGTGGTTTGTTGCTATGTTTGTCTTCCTGCTGTCCCTCAGCATTTCCCTCCCCTGTACCCATCATCACCCATCCTGTAATTACAGAAATGTTATTTTTTGATAGACAGATGCATTGGGTTGCTGGCAGGAGTACTGCCATTATGCAGTCCAAATACTGTGCAGAATATTAAAGAATCATACAAATCAAGTCCTAGTGAAAGAATAATCTTGTGAGTTATCAAAAAGTTTGAACTAAGTCTGGTTTGCTTGTTTACACATGGGATAACTCACCTCAAACTAGGTAACATTTATTTACATATGGCAGCTAGGACTGCACAGGAAATAGAGTCTTCTAATTAACACTCCTGATGCTGCAAACATAAACAGGGATAAACACATATTCCATTATGTGTAGCTGCCACTCACTTTGCCACAGTATTTTTTCTTTTCTCTGCACAAGTAAAACAATGCTACAAAGCAAACAAGCACTGAGCTTTCACTTCAGTACCTGCCTAATAATGTCATACCTTATTTCCAGGAAATTTATTTGGAAAAGTTACCAAAAAAAACAACCAACCAACCAAACAAAAAGCAGTGTCATATCCTATCACTTCACTTAACTCAGGCTCAAGAGGCTGTAGGAATAACATGAGAGCTTCCACTAGTGTTATGTATTACTGTGCTTTAAAGTTTCCACAAATAAGGCACCTGTTTCTGCCTGGCAGGCAGGGTATACAGAATAGTGAAAAGTGACACTATGCTCACAAACAAAAAGCTTAATCTGCAGAACAAATGAGGAATAAAATACATACTGTGGGTCCAAATGGCTCACCACTGGAAATGTGGAGTAAAGCAGCCTGAGTAGGCAGAGCAAGGGGAAGGGAATGTGGAAAATTCTGTGGCAACCACTTCCAGCTGTGCCCCCACCAAGATTTCACCTGGGTGTGCTTCAGGGATCTACCTCAGGCAGGTCTGAAGGGCCCCTGCCTTATCCTCTGTGTGTTTGGGCTGACAGGGAAAATGTGGAGATGCTGCCAGCAGAGACAGGAGGGCTGGAGCCACCAGCTGAGGGAGCTTCCCCAGGGCAGCTCTGCCTTTCCTTCCCACGTCAGGGGGCTCCCAGCACCAGCCCAGGCTCTGTCCTCCCACACCACACCCGCAGAGAGCTCAGGGGGAGGCTTGCACACCTTCCTTGTGCTGTCCCTGGGACTAAGGCAGGGTTTATCATTTCCTTTGTCCTTGAGCCCAGCCATGCTCAGCCAGCTGTAGGGCCTTCACACAGAGCTCTCTGAAAGGGCCTTCACACAGACTTGCAGTCTCCACACCACAGCTCACTGCACACCCTTACCCTGAGCTGTCTCATTTATAATTTAAATGTTTAATGCAAAGTGAAGCTCAAGTTAACAACACATATTTTTGAAGACTGACAGTATAGTGCTTTATTTCCTAAAGGAATAACTGGAGTGATCCATAAGCAAATAGAAAGCCAAGTAACACTGTCTGAACAGACATAATTTGTGCTCATCCTTGAGAAACCTTAGAGAGCATACATCCCTTCCTCCTTCTCAGCTAGGCAAGGTGGGATTGACTGTGGTTTTCTTTCAGATGAGGTATGAAAAGCTGCAGTGCACTTTGTTCTGCACTGGTATTAATGATACCTTCAGAAGTGGGATGTCTTTGATATCTATTGTGTGCTGCTGACTGATGGCTCTTTCTAGCCTGGAAAAGTACCTTGTCTTAGCAGCTTTGTGTGGGCTGAGAGTGGAGGCCACAAGAATATTTTGAAGTTGAGAAATTTTAAATTAATATAAAGTATTGTATCATTAAAGCTGAGATAGTAATACCCTTCTAAATTCACCCTAAAACTTTCTTTGTCCATTCAGGAAATGATTAGATATTATCCCATCTTGGTTCTGGATATTCTTTATTGCTGTTCATCCTCAGAGGCAGTGGATGAGGATCCCCACCAGCAAGAGCAGGGACAGCAGAAGCACTCTCCTTGTGCACAATCTCTTGCTGCAAGCCCCCCTCCCTGACACTTCTTCTATTATAAAACACTCAGAAGCAGCAATCCTGGCAATTGTCTGACTAATATCTTCATTATCAGGGAGTGTTATCTTTCACATACAACAAATGGAAATGGTGGTAGCATCAGCACTGAAAATAAGGATTAGAGAAGGGGAGCTACTGATCAAAGAGAAAAATAAACTCCAAAGGTTAACTTATGGCACATCTTTTTCTTAACCTGTGTTATAACCTGCTGTCTATGTTAAGGAAACATTAAATAAACAACAACTTGTAAAATGATATTTTCTTATTTCTTTGACTCTACTACTTAAAACAATTTTGCACAAGAGAAGACCCACATTCTGCTCCTAGATTTTAATTATGCCATCTGAAGCGAGCAGTGGTTAAGAGCATGAGAGAATGGAAACAGAACGAAAAAGATTGGCTGGGGCAGGAATTCAGATGGTTGTTTGGAGGTGCAAGCTCAGAGCAGCTCAATGCAACGTCTGGGAGGAGCTGTTGGCTCTGCAGAGCCACTTGTGCCCTGGCACTGACATCAGTCACCTGGAGAAGGGCTCTGGAAGGGCTGCAGCTCCCGAGGTCAGGGCTGACACCAGCAGGACAGCGTGGGGAACAACTGGGGCTGTGCCCACGCCAAACCTGCTCTAAGAATAGACAGCCTCATCCTCTAGGTTTGTCAATCTGTCACCCAGAAAAAAAAATAGAAAGGAAAATTAAAAGGTTATGATGTTATCGTCTCCAAAAATAGGATTTCAGTCATCCTGGAGAAGTGCTGTGCTGGGATATTTTCACTCAGGTTCTGCTGACATCTCCCAACTGTCACCAGCACCGAGCCTCCTTTTGGGACTGCTAAAGGTCACCGAGCACCAGGGAGGTGGAGGGAGACCTCCACTTGGGTGACCACAGGAAAATGTTTTCAGGATTAATCTGAAGTAGAAAGAAATTAATCATTTTGTCTGTGTTTCTCTTTCCTGGTGCTGACAACACCCAGAACAGCAGTGCCTTCTGCTCTTCAGCACTGCCTCAAGTCCACCAAAGACCAAAGGTTAGTTCCTAAAAAAGGAGCTGCTGCCTGAACCAGCAGCCTGGTTTTCTTATATTTCAGAGCTAACATAGAAAACAAAGGATCACAGCATGCAAGAGCAGAACAGACTAGTGGAAAACAGTCTAAGAATAAAAGAAAAACAACCAGCAAATCTCAAACATTACCTTTGAGAATGAAGAGAAACTCGCGAATGCCACTCTCCATTTTACTTGGAAAGACAGGATTCAACTGAGTGCATTGGAAGAAAATCCTGTGCTCTGAAAGCAAAGTGAGAGACTAATTCAGTTCCCAGGGCACCCCAGAGGGTGGCAGGGGCACGAGTGACCCCGAGGTGCCACACGAGAGCCCACGAGCTCCGAGTGCTCAGCGTTGTCAGGGTCAAGCCTCTGGCACTGTGGCATTTGAGATTCAGTCTCTCTATAGGTTAGGATTGATCTCCCCTGTCTCTGGATAAAAAAAATAAACAAACTGTAACCTTGAAATTGTCATCCAAACCTGGAGTCCAGCCAAAAAAGCAGAGACAAAATCCCCTTGAGAAGCAGAACAGCAACCCCAGAGGTCACTATCGATGTGTCAAACAGAAACAGTGGATTTTGATATTGCAAGGACTTGAGTAATTTCATTTTTATTCAAAAACTAAAAGTGTAATCATATTTTTTTCCCCCTGAAATGCAGAATTGCATCCATTTCCATGTAAACACAGATACTCAGAGGATACCTTAAATATTCTCTTGGAATTGAACATGCACATTTGAAAGCAGTGCAGTTATAGAACAAAACATTCTCCTCCATGCAAGAGGATGGTGTTGTACTGCCCTCTTTGTTGTTTTGGAGAACACAGGGAGTTACCAGCAGCTTCAAAGCTGTAAGGAGGCAGCAAAGCCAATCCAAGCTAGGAATGGCTCCAGTTAACTCTCCAGAAGGAGGGATTGCACAGGGCAAGCTTTTTATGGGCCACTGCAAAACAAAGGGATTTGTTGTGTTTTTTGGGGATTTTTTTGCTTTAGGTGAGGCCATCTTCAAATGAATAAAGAACTCAGGCATGCTGTAGGCTCTGTTTCCACAACAGCCTCAAACTCTGCTTCAGATTCTCTGAGAGTGAGGAGAGCAAAGCCCACAGAATGGCATTTCAAGTGGTTGTGCTTAAATGTAGCTCATGGCAATGTGTGCATCCAATTTCACTACTTTTAATGGGGCAACACCCAACAGGCCCTAAGCAAATGTGCAGCTGCACAGAAAAACACACCCTCAGCTCCCAGTGGTTACCCCAATCTGAAACTCCAGACATTTGAACTTTGTTCCTGCAGAATATCAGTCTAAAAACAACAAAAACAAACAAACACACAAAAAACCCACATGGAAAATTCCCCCCAAAACCCCCTAGGAAAGCACATGAGGAAACCATGCAATAGTAGATGTTATATATAAAATAGCTGCAGAAAAGCAGAGTAGGAGGCCCTCAAAGATTCAGCACTATGTAAACAGCAATAAACAGAGGCAAGCCAGTGTTTTGAAGGGAGGTGGAGAAAATGTGATTGCTCTGTCCCTGACTGTGTTGGTTACACTGTGCACAACCAGGAATGCCTTTTATTATCTAATATTTATCGCTTTTGACGGTCACAGGTGTTCCTACTTCAAAAAGATTTGAGCAAATGCCCCTAACTGTGTGACATCTGGATACTGTCATCACTGTAACAAGAGGTAACTTTTGCCACTAGGCTCTGCTCTGGCAGATGTGGTTTTAGTGCCACTGTTCATTTCCTTCCCTGTTAAAATGCAAAACATTAGCTTTTACTTACAAACAAACATAGCCTGTTCAAGTCTACAGCGTGAAGTCAGATCCTTTTATACTCTTAGTCCACCAAAAAACACATTAAATAGAAAAATGTTTCACTTGCTAGGATACTGTGTTGGATTCTTGAGTAATATAAGTCAAAGACAATGAAATTGTTAAGAGAATGGAATCCCTCCCCACCCTCACAGGGAGGAATTCCTTCCCAAAATCCAACATATCCCTGCCCTCTGGCAGTGGGAGCCATTCCCCCTTGTCCTGGCTCTCCAGCCCTTATCAATTGTCTCCATCTTTCCTGTAGGTTCACAATTAAGAAACCACCTCTTCTCCAGGATGAATTGACACTTTTTATTAAATATTTTTCATATGTTCTCCATGTTGTGAAGAATATTTAATAAAAATAATAAATTTTAAAAAGAGAAAAAACACACAGGAAGGAAATAGAATTTTTTCTGTAAACCTGCAGAGGGAAAAAGCTGCTTTGAAGTAAGCTGCTAAGCTTAAAACAATTTGCATGAAATATTTTTCACAAAAGCCTTCAAAAAAATTAAAACCTTTGGAAACCTATTGTTCTCAGAGCCCCATATGTAGCTGAGTAAAATTAACCTATTGGTAAATGCCAAAGATTATCAGTTCCATTCAGCTGCTCAGGCACTCAGCAGGGCCAGGGGAGCCATGCCCTGGGGACCAAGTGTCTTTTTATCTCTTGCAAAAGAAGACAAAACTGCACAAACAGAATCTAAAATCCTATAGCAAAAAAACCAATTATCTGTGCTGGATGAGTGTCACATTGGGAGCAGTGCTGTGGGTTACTTCTAACTGCAGAAAGAGACAAGAGAATCAACAAGTTCATGATTGGTGCAACTCATCACAGATCTCAACAATCCAGCTTGAGTAAAGAACAAGAGTATTTTGAATGCAGAGGAAAATTATAGGGTATTTAATGAAGCAAATTACTACAGTTTGTATAATAGTGAAGATGGACATGAACTTGCACATTTTTGGAAAGTGTGAACATCAAGAATGCAAAGAAATACCAGAGGTCTAGGAAAATTCCAGTTTGATGCAGTGTATTAATACCAATCTGTGTCAGATTAGACAACCTGTAGTGACACAGACAGAAATTCCATTCTCTGATCTGAGGGGCTTTTTGCATATTAAATGATATAAAGCATTCTACACCTATGCCCAATTCTGCAGGAAATTAAAGCCTATGATTATCACTTGTCTAACAGCATCAATGTAATAAATTAAAGGCTTTGAATAATGGCCAGCAGGCTTCTCAGCCATATTTCAAACTTTTAGAAAATAATCCATTTTTGGCAGATCATCTGACAAGTTCACAACTTTAGATCAAGGCTTATATTATGTGTCATCAGTATTCTTTTGTTCATCTCATACCTATCAATTTTTGTTCATCAAAACCCAGGGCTGTTTAAAACGTGGAAGAAATTTGGCATGTTATGTGGGTCATTTATGGAAATCAAGAATATGATTTAACATTAATATACATAAAAATGACGAGAAATTATGCACCACAAATCTAAATTGGTTTGTGGCTTTTTAAACTCCATTGTATAATACAAAGCATTTTCTCTGTGAGGGACAGAAAAATTCAGGTGGGAAAAAAATAATTACCAGATAGAAATCTTGGCTTAGTTAAAGCTATGTCATATATTAATGTTATTCTCAACACAGGACATTGGTAAATAAGATTTACAGCTCTGAATGTTAATTTTTAAAAGGAAAAACTAGCACCTCTCCTTCAAATGCAAACTAACTCCCATGGGTTTGTGAATTCAGGTAAAATTTATTGCAGAGCAATAGCACCACCACATATGGGATGATCCTTGCTTTTAAAAAGGAGGAAGCAAAGAATAGGAGAGACAGTTGCTTTCATTATCAGTGATCAGGCAGTGATCAGCATGGATCACAGTTCCTCATTACCACAGAGGAAAACCTGGATTACCTTGATGGTGTCCATACAGAATTTGGAGAAGAGACAGAAGTCATGGAAGTACTGAAGACAATTAATGAAACCTTCGTAGATAAGGATTTTATCCCATATCAAGATATCAGGATAAATCATACAGTGATTTTAGATGATCCTTTTGGTGATCCACCTGCCTTGTGTGTTCCTGATCGCTCACCAGATCCTACAAAGGAACAGCTTGACAGTGGCAGAATAGGAGCAGATGAAGAAATTGGTGACACGAAAGGACAGTCTGCAGATGAAATAGAAGAAGTTCAGGCAGAAAAAGAAACAAAACCCTGTGTCATTCTTCTAGAAATGGGAGACTTACCAGAGGCAGACATCAAGCCACCAGTTTGTTTGTAAACTGAATCCTGTGACCACAGGTGAAGACCTGGAAATAATACTTTCACAATTTGGTCCCATTAAAAGTTGTGAAGTGATCCAAGACTGGAAGACTGGTGAATTTCTTTGTTATGCTTTCATTGAGTTTGAAAAGGAGGAAGACTGTGAGAAAACCTACCTCAAAATGGGCAATATGCTGGTAGATGACAGATGATACATGTGGATTTTAGCCAGTCTGTTGCAAAGATTAAACAGAAGGGAAAAGGTGGATGGAAGGAAATCTACCAAGGAAGGTTTCAAGGACTATGAGAAGGAACGTGACAAACCTTCAAAATTTACTCTGAAAAGAAAGGTAAAACCAAAGCGAGATGCCAAGTACAACCTTGTGCTGGATGAGGATGGAGAAGAGTCTCACACAAGTCAGTCACACTTGGCTAAAAAACAGAAGAAAAAGAACCACTACTCTGAAGATGATGACAAAAGGACTAAAAAAATCTAAGGATTCTGACCAAAAGCATGAAGAATGCTGTAGGGAGAGCACCAAGGGTGAGGAGAAAGACACAGAGCCACAGCTGTTCTCAGGAGAGAGATTACACTTACAGCAGGCAAAAAGAGAAGTACAGATGAAGGACAAGGAAACGACAGAGGGGAGCTAAAATAATAAATTTAACTTTCTTTAATAACTCTTTTACCTGTCTGCGACACCCAAGTTTATGATTCACAATCAAGAGATGTTACCATGTCTTTGCAAAATCTACAAAGTTTATTCTGAATCCACTAGTGGTCTTTAAACGTCTGATTTTCTGCTGCAATACATAAAGCCCATTTCCTTCAACATGTGCCATATAAAAGATGGAGGAAAACCATAAATAATAAAACTGCAGCTCTGTTTTTTATCTTGCTCTGTAAAAGCAAAATGTGTTAGCAAGAACTAATCCTCCAGTCTGCTGCTCTGCCTCTCTTTTATCTAGTTTTTTGTTTAGGTTTTGTTGAAATCAACACCTTCTATCAGGGTAAGAATTCCTGTTTCATTTGTTTGCTCATTAGGAACAAGAAAGTGCATATTCCAGAAAGGCTTGATGTACAGATGAAGCTGTCAAGAGCAATGTGAATTCTAACAGAGTCGTTTCTCAAATGTGATAATTACTGTTTATTTTATAGGCTTACACATGACATCCCATTATTAAAGTAACTCCCACTTCAGCTTTTATTATTACCCACACTTTTCAATCTCTTATCGACCCCAAGCAAAACTGTATTTTTCTGCACAGCAACAACAAAAAGCTAACACTCAACATTTACTTTCCCAGGAATTATTCTCCAAGCTATTTCCACATTTTAAAAGGTGCCTCATTTGAAAATACTGATGGCTTCCATTAGGGATTGAAATTGCCCTTTAGAATAGACTGGATAAATCAAAGTGTGGGGAGAACCAGGAGGACTTTCAAAGGCATTTTGGAGCTAGTCCAGCTGAGCTCCCACACAGATCAATGAGGAGTTTAACATCACTTTGCAGGACAGGAGCAACAGGAAGGGAAAAGCCATGATTTACTTTATGCAGAATTCCATGCCATGACCTTGGATAATTATGTGGAAACCACAGACCTCCTAAAAATCTGTACCTGCTACATCTGGGCCACCCCACACAGTGTGGAACTTCACAGGAGCTGATGGCAGGTGGTCACAGGCCACCTCAGAAGGGTCACAAACCCTCCTCAGAAGGGTTTGGCAGCACATCCTCTCCCCAGACATCGTTACTATCTCCTTTTGTCCATTAGTGTGAAGTGATGGCCTGTCACAATTTGGTTTAAACCATGTTTCTCCTGAATGAAATGTTACTCCAAGTGGAGAAAACACAGCTGTCCCACCACCTACACACAGGAAACATCAAAGCTCTGCAAACCCCCAGGGGTGCAGCTCCCTCTTCCCTATGCTGTGTCACTATGGAAGGAGAGCAGGGGGGAAAAAAAAGGCATCCAAAAGTTAAAATTGGCAAATGCAGAGTAAATTAAAAACCCAATAACCACAACACTAGGATGAATCTCTAGCAGGAAGGTGGGGAAAAGGGGGGAAAAAAGTGGAAATCCTGTAGATTAGTTGAGAAAGGAAGAATAATGAGGTGTCCTGTGCAGGGCCAGGAGTTGTACTCGATGATCCTTGTGGGTCCCTTCTGACTCAGGATACTCTGTGAGTTTATGACAATCTGAAAGGACCAGCAGTGGTTAATAACAGGAGCAGGTGACATGCTGGACTGTGTCCAGTGGGAAGCAAGCAAGGAAAGAGTTAAAAAGAGCAGAAAAGTCAAAGGAATCAGTGTAGAGACCACACCTGAACTTTGCCAAAAGGGAGAGGAGATCAGAGGGTCTTACAGACCTCAAGATCTCAGCTGGCCTGTAAAATAGGTGTTCTTTTCTCTTCCATGCATGGTAGCTTTTTGGTTAGAGATGCTTTCAGAGATGCAGTGTCATAGCAAAGCACATGAGAAATCATCACAATACACTGAGTTTGGCAGCAAATGTAGGATTTTAGGAGATTTTCATTGAAAAACCTCAGAAAGCAGAGCTGACCAAAAACTTTTGAGATCTGTTGGCGATCATAACAGTGAAAGCTGCACATATACAACAAACAACTGACCCTAGGATTTACCTGAAGGAGCCACAGGAAAGATGGTCAGAAGCAGTTTGCAAGGGATGGAGTGCCAGGACAAAGGGGAATGGCTCCCCACTGCCAGAGAGCAGGGTTAGATGGGATATTGGGAAGGAATTCGAATCCTTATCACACTCTACAACTCCCTTATCACTATGTACGACTTCCTGAAAAGTGATTGGAGTAGGGTGGGGTTGGTCTCTTTCTCCAGGAACTGATAGAACCAGAGGACACAGCCTCAAGCTGTATCAAGGGAAATATAGGTTGGATATTAGGAAAAAGTTTTTCATTGAAAGGGTGATAAAGTTCTGGAATGTTCTGCCCGGGGAGGTGGTGGAGTCCCCATCCCTGGGTGTGTTGAACAAAGCCTGGATGTGGCACTGGGTGCCAGGGTTTAGTTGAGGGGTTGGGGCTGGGTTGGACTTGATGGTCCTGAAGGTCTCTCCCAACCCAGTGAATCTGTGTGAATTGTTCCTGGCAGGGTGGGCAGGCCCTGGCACAGGGTGCCCAGAGCAGCTGGGGCTGCCCCTGCATCCCTGGCAGTGCCCAAGGCCAGGCTGGACACTGGAGCAGCCTGGGACAGTGGAAGGTGTCCCTGCCATGGCAGGGGGTGGCACTGGATGGGTTTTTAAGGTCCCTTCCAACCCAAACCATTCTGAGATTCCATAATTCTATGATTTAGTCAGGTTTGTCCTGATAAACACTTCACTTCCTCGTTGGTAGGACACCACCACTCCTGAGGATCCAAGGGCTTTTTCCCCATCCAGCCACACCTACAAACACATTCCCACACCACACTGCTGCCATGCTCCTTCACACCAGCTTCGATAAATGTTCCATCATTTGGGGATGTTCAGATTTTCTCACTCTCCTGAAGAGAGGAACACTAATGCATATAAAAGATCTATGTGTGATTTATTAAAAAATAAATCCTGTAAAATTTTGCTGCATGGACATGTTCAGTTACTGCCAGGACCAGGGAGATGCCCAGCATTCAGCACTGATGTGTATCTGACTTCTCTACTCCACTTGTTATTCTTACAGTCAGTTGTGCTGCTTTCCTTTTTCAGAAACTAAAAGTTTCAAGATTTTTTTTCTAGTATACTAGAATTTTTAACAATTTTTTTTCCTTTTTTTGGGTCTGAATTACTATAATTATACTCAAGGTCTTTATTGCCATCTACCTTCCAGATGGCTCTGGTGAAAAAACAGAAAAGCTAATAGAATATAGAATAATATAAATTACCAATAGATCTCTTACTCTTTAAGTGATTGAAGGCTTCCACCCCCAAAATAATACACAGCATACTCCAAAGTAGCCAGCACATTCTGTGATATAGAAGAATGCAGAGATTTGTAAACCCTTAAAAAGCACTTTTGATGTTTAGGTTTTTATATTCCTTTGATCAGAGATTAGTTGCTAAAAATGCAGCAAAAAGGATCACTTGATAATACACAAGAAAATTTAAGAACTAAAGTGGAAAAAAGCTTCTAAAACACCAAATTTGTAGGCCACCACAGCTGAAATTGAACCCAACTTTTAGCATGAACACATGGAAAACTAATCTATAATTTCACCTAAAACATTTCTTAAGTGATCTCTTTTATTCAACTGACTGGAATATGATAAACAGGCCTCAAATGAGCATTGGCATGTTCTATTCTGAATTTCATTATATCATTGAATTCTAATGTTTCAGGAGAGGTGTCACATAGAACTACATTAATATTCACCAAAAATGGCAACTGTAACAAAATTCAGGATAGGATATAACACCCATCTCCTGCTGCATTTTTTTCTCTTACATCGTCAGACACCCTGAAGTCTTCATAGTAACACAGAAATTGAGAGAATATACCACTTTCAGTCTTGATATTCATATCAAGGCCTTATAAATCCGGTGATTGAAGGGCATTATAAAGTCCAATGACTGAAGAGCATCATAAAGTCCAATGATTGTACTGGTTGCATTGATTTTTCCAAATTATTTTACCCCTATTTTATATGTTTATCCTACTCATTAAGTAAGGATACATAAACATCTCACAGAAAAGTATTTTATATAATCATTTAGAGCTTCATAGTATATATTTTGGTAAGGAAACAGACTGCCTGTAATTGCAGGTCTGGAAATTCCTTAAATAGAGAACTCAGGCTGGAACTCAGAGCAAAAAAAGGAGGGTCTATCATCTTTGGAGGAGGGACAAGTAGCTTGGAGGGATGAAAAGAATCTTGAGAGGTTATGGAGGGAAAAAACTGAAAGGGTCAAAGCTAAATTGGAACTAAATTTGGCCACTGCAGGTAAAGACAATGAACAAAAGTTTGTATAAAGGCATTGGCAACAAAAGGAAGGCTCTGAAGAGACTCCATCCTCTGCTGGATGCAGAGGGCAGGACAGTGTCATGGGATGAGGAAAAGCTGAGCTCCTTCATGCCTTGCTTGCCTCACCAAAGCTCAGGATACTCAGACCCCAGAGCTGGAACTTGGTGATGAGTGAAGCCCCCATGGAATCACAGAACACCCTGGATTGAAAGGGACCTTAAAAATCATCTTGTTCCAGCCCCCATCATACAGGAGAGAATGGTTAATGACCAGTTATGTAGCCATGATATTTTCTGAAAAATCATTTCCTTAGGATTTTTCCTCCTGAGAAGCTGAGAGGCCTCAGGAACAAAATGCAAACAATGGTTATCTGCTGCTGTGGAATGCAACAGGTGCATCTGGGATTGGTTCATGTGGTTGTTTCTAATTAATGGCCAATCACAGTCAGCTGGCTCAGACTCTCTGTCTGAGCCACAAGCCTTTGTTATCATTCCTTCTTTTTCTCTTCTTAGCTAGCCTTCTGTTGAAATCCTTTCTTCTATTATTTTAGTATAGTTTTAATATAATATATATCATAAAATATTAAATCAAGCCTTCTGAAACATGGGGTCAGATCCTAATCTCTTCCCTCATCCTCAGACCCCTGCAAACACGGTCA